CACTGGTTATTTGGGACAGATGTCACTGTTTCCTGGTAAGTTACATCAGCAGCAAGGCAGAAGGCATCCAACGGCCCATTAGATTAGTTTGCAAATCCTTGATGGCTTTTTAATAATGACCCTCTTTAGAGATCACCACCTCTGCCTCAAGGGAGTCCATGCAACCTGCATAAATATCTCCCCGTTGAAGACAACAGTGGTGCAATGTGTAACCTCACACTTAAACATATAGCAACATCCATGATGCTGTTCCTTGACAGTTTGTTGTGAAGGAACAAGATTCAGGATGGGAGAGGTTCCAGGCGTGGAGAAAAACATACAGCAATTGACAGGACTTTATTATATGGACTTTACTGTCATTGTATCCACACTACACAGTGCACAGGCTGGGCATGCTCGGACTTGCACCAAGTTTGCCTGCTCCCTGCTTCCCCGCTCCCCTCTCTGATAGGCTGCAGAAGCTGCAGAGAGGAGACAGTTACCATTCACCCTTTCCTTCCCCGGTTCCTCCCACGTTCCTCCCCCTTTGCCTGTGTCCCTACCCCGATTTGTTCCCCCGTTTGTCTGTCTCATGCTCCACCCCGTGTTCTAGCCCTTTCCCCGCCTAAACCCATAAAACCTCTGGACACCTCAATAAAATATTCTACTTGCACCTCCACCTTGTCTCCTGACCCGTCCGTGCTGTGTCACGGCCCCATCCCCCCTCGGACCGTGGCAGTTTGTGCTGCTAGTTTTAATGCAGAAAAACACGAGCAGAGGTAGATAATCCAGAAATAGTCCAGAAATAATCACTGGCTTCTATCTTGCAGCAGAAGAAAAATACAATTGCTCATACGGGTACACAAAAGAATTAAACTAATCAAAGGTCTATCAAGTAGTTCAAAAACATGTATAATTTGTTACACTTGGAATCCATACCAGATAGGGAGAGACTTTTTTTCCCATCAGAGTAGAAGTGTGTTGAAAAGAAGTTTGTTCTGTTTTAAAACATTGTGTGTACTACAGATCGTTATCACATTCCTACCTGGGCAGATAATAGATGTAGTTGGTAAAGAAGCATTTCAAATTTGGTGCCATAAAAAATGATTCATGTTTACTCAAAGGTTGTTCAGTAGCAATAAAAAGCAATCATGCATTCAGCTTGTGAAGATGTAATATACAGAAGCACAGCCCAGAACAACAGGGCAGTTCCCATTTCATAAGAGAAGAAACCTAGTGACAGGGATCTTTTCGGTATACAGCTCCTTGGATTTAGAATGTTGTTAGAGGTGAAGTAAATATTATGAATCAAAACTTCCAGAAAGGATTTGTAGTGCGTGATGGAAGATCTTCCACCCTAATGCAAGACTTGGGATTTCAGAAGACAAATTATCCCATAATTGCTGAGCCTGAATGGGAGTGAGGGCAATAACCATCAGTGTCAAAACCAGTTCCATCAGGTGTGACTCATCTTGATAGGTCAATACATGGAAATATCCAGAAAGCTATGGATGAGCAAAATGCTCAGAAGACTCTTGCATGATAAAAACTTGAGACAGGAGTGTATATAATCACCTAAATTATCAAGAGAAGTTGCTTTTGCAAACTGCACTAATAATTCCATGCCAATATCTTCTGTTACAGTGAACCGTGCCTGAGGAAAAAGGTACCATTTATGACTGACAATCTGAGTCAAGATGGTCCCTTTAGTGATCCAGTTCATGCACATACTGGGAAAAAAAAAGCACAGAAGCTGGGAAGAGGTAAGTAATAAAAAAAAACAACCAAAAAAAAACCTTGAAGAGTTAGCAAATTCTGATCTTCTTCTAATGGAGATCGAAACTGGAGCTGAGCTGGCAACAGAAGATTTGTTGTTTGCATTGTTTCTAAAGTATTTGGGGAATCAAGTGGTAATTGTGTATATAGTAATGTTAAAAATTAATTTTTGGTTCCTTTGTGCATTGGCAATCAATTTGCAGCACATCTGTGTGACCATGGGAACACAGGGACTTTTACAAAGTCACAGCCAAAGCGTGATATTCGCATGACTGAAGCTACTGGAAGTCACCTCAGGGCTGATCCGTGCTCTGAGGTGCCCCACAACAGCAGATAGCGCACGACAGCCTGAGCAGCTTACTGGAGTGAGAAAGAGGGAAAGGGGAATTGCTTGGATCATGGTTGTCATGGCCACTGGAAATGGTGAAAGAGCCAGTCTTATTAATTCTTTTTTACAAAAACACAATATATGGGTAAAGTCTTCTGAAAAATAAATACGCATTAAATGTGTATGTAGAGATACGTAGATAAACGATGTATATCACGTCTACATGTAAAAATGAAACATACAATACATGCACTCACACCCCAATTATCTGCTATTCATGTCCAAAACAGCAAAGGCCAAAAGTTCTCCAAAACAACATTGTGATGGAAATTGTTAGCCATGACAAAATTCTGAAAAAATTGCTTTAGAGTGTCATTCAGATACAGCAAACCAGTCCAGGTGTTTGAATTTTTATTATTCCTCAAGTCAAAAGAAACCAAAACATGTAAGTTACCTTTGTCTCCCACCAGCAAAAAGGATTGTGTTTCTGAATTAATTTTCTTCAAAAAAGACAGTTTAAAATCCTTTTAAATACAGTGGAAATCGGAGAATGCCTAACTAAGTCCTACCAAATTTGGCTGTAGTTCCTTTGTGGCTGCTGTTAATTTAAATGAGTATAAAAGGGGCATTTTCAGGGGCAAAATAATTTTTGTCTTTCCAATAAGATAGAGTCACAATTCCAGTAAGAGAGAGGCAGTTTTCAAAGATTAGTCTGTTCAAGTAATTTCAGGAAATTATGATAATGTAAGTCAAACAAGTTGCTCTCTGTGAAGTGACTGGATTATAGCTCTATAGGTTACACTGGTAATTGCAAGCACCGAAGCTGCATAATTGTTAGTATCCAGGTCTGTCTGAATGCATAAAAACACACAAAGTGGCACAAGTCAGAGGAGCTCACATCCTTCCACTAAATGACATCTCCTACTGGCACTGTCCAAGATGGAATACAGAGCTGCATGGACCATCAGTCCAACCCAGAAGGACACTTGTAATCATAAAATTGTAGAATGGTTTGGGTTGGAAGGAACCTTAAAGATCATCTGGTTCCAAACCTCCTGCCATGGGCAGGGACACTGTCCACTAGACCAGATGGCTCTAAGCCCCATCCAACCTGGCCTTGAACACTTCCAGGGATGGGCCATCCACAGTTTCTCCAGGCAATGTCTTCCAGTGCCTCACCACTCTCACAGTGAAGATTTCTTCCTAATATATAATCTAAACCTACTTTCTTTCAGTTTGAAGCCATTCCCTCATGTCCTATCACTACATGTCCTTATAAAAAGTCCCTCCCCAGCTCTCTCGTACCCACTTTAGATTCTAGAAGGCTGCAATAAGATCTCCCTGCAACCTTTACTTCTCCAAGCTGAACAACCCCACCTCTCTCCTCTCAGCCTGCCTTCATAGGAGAGGTACTCCAGCCCTCCGATCATCTTTGTGGCCTCCTCAGGACTCATTCCAATAGGACCACATTCTTCCTATGTAGGTGGCCTCAGAGCTGGATGTCGTAATGCTCTGAGGAAGCTGCTTTGTAATAGGCATTTGATACAGTATCAGCTCATTCCCCTCACCCTCCCACTTTTTGCAACTTTCATCTTTGATGAAAGTTCAAAAACGAGTTACTGGAGTTATAACTAAGTTTTGAACTGCAGGAGAAACAATGCTTTTGCTTTGCATTGTTTTTTTGTCAGAGAATGGAGCTAGCGGAAAGCTCCGAGTTGTGGCTGTAGGTTTCTAACAAGCACCTGTCACAAGGCTGTTCCTGGCACACTGTCACTTAACTGTTGGCCTCAAAAGTGTATGGCTTGCCCTTTTCAAGCATGGTATTTTGCAACACGAAGAGGTGAAAGTGGCTGCATATTTTGAGTCACTAACCAAACCACAGCAAACTCCAATAAGGATCGAAATTCAGTGAGAGAACACTCTGAACACGGACTTTTCTGGAGGAGGTATCCAGAAAGGAAAGAAATAAGTGAAAACTTGAGACAGAGCTAGTTTGAAAAAAAATCACTGGGAGAAAAGATCGGTAAAGACCTTTCATGGTTATAATGATAGGGGGGTGTAAGAGACTTTTGGTCACATTTGGCTATGGGTGTTCATTTCCATGGACTGAGGGAGGCTTTGGGTAATGCCGGGAGGCCTTGATTTCCCAGGCATAGATCAGCAAAACAAGTTTCCCCTCATGGCTGGGCCGAGTAGTTCTGGATACAAAAGATTGCTTTAGTTAAGGAACCAGCAAAGGCGATGCGGTAACTCGTGTATCACCGAGTCGCCCCTAGCCTTCTCTGTCCCAGCCCCATTCCCTCTGCAGATCTCACTCAAAACTCTCAGCTTTGCCCTTGGAAAGCACAATTTGGCCATGAAAGCCACGCAGGAGCTCTCACCGCCGGTCGAGTCCCGCCGCTCCTGTGGGGGACGTGGGGGGGTTCCCGCCTGGCTGGCACTGCCTGCGGCTGCCCCGGAGACCGGCGCTGCCAACTTTCTTTCTGCATCGCCTCAGCTCGCTGGGACGCCGCGTCCCCGCCGGAGGGGGTGGGAGGAGGAGGAGGTTCGGGCTGCTCGGCAGCCGTACCTGGTCGGGGCTGGTCTCCCCTCGGGGGACACTGGGGGGGCCCCGCTGCCCGCCCGCAGCGCGGTGGCCGCGCCTTGACCCCCACCGGCACCGCCAAGGTCACTGCCCAGACGTGTCCCCGGTCCCCCGGCCGCCGACACTTGAGAGTTTCAAGAGGCTTTTCTTCCCCGGGAGCGGCGCCCAGGGGAAGGGGCAGGAGGGGGCAGGCAGGAGGGACAGGCAGGAGGGACAGGCAGGAGGGACAGGCAGGAGGGCGGGGAGAGGCTGGCAGGGCAGGAGCCGGGCGGGGTGCTGGCTCCAACTGGAAAGGAACCGGTCCCAGCCCAGCCGCGGAGGCTGCGGGAGAGCCGGCAGCGCTCAGGGAGAGCATATCGGCCCCGGCCCCAGTCCCGGCCCCGGCCCGAGCAGCCGCCGCCTGCCATGGGCACCGCGTCCCGCGTCAGTGCCGCGGCCCCGGCGGGGCGGGCGGGGGGCGCAGCCGCGGGAGGGACGCGGGGGCTGCTCGGTGGGGGAGGATCTACCCCGTGTCACATATGGGAGTGGGACCTACAGCCTGGGATGGCGGTCAGGGAGGAGGGGGTGAAAGCACCGAGGTTTGGGGAAGATGGTGATGCAGAACCAGCCGGAGCCACAGTCTTACAGGGCGACCCCCTAATTCTGAATTTGTGCTGCAGGGTGGGTCTGTGAAGGCAGGGAAGATGCCAGAAGGGGAGAAAACGAGACAATGTAAGCAAGAAGAGGAGCAGCCGCAGAAAGAAGAGGAGCGGGAGGGTCTCATCGAATTCTACAGTTCCTACCAAGAGCTATTCCAGTTCTTCTGCACCAACACAACCATCCATGGGGCTATTCGCCTGGTGTGCTCCAAAAAGAACAAGATGAAGACAGCGTTCTGGTCTGTTCTCTTCTTTCTCACCTTCGGCTTAATGTACTGGCAGTTTGGGATCCTCTACAGGGAGTACTTCAGCTACCCTGTCAACCTCAACCTCAACCTGAACTCTGACAGGCTGACTTTCCCAGCCGTGACACTGTGCACCCTCAATCCATACAGGTAAGAAATAGACTTCCAGAGCTGTTGACTGCCTTGGCTTTAACAGGTGTAGGATAAAAGCATGTACTCTTTTTCTCCTCATGGTCCTTGAGGGGCCATTTCTGTAGTGGTGCCCGTGGAAGGAACACCTTTCACAGGCCTTTGCTGCTGCAGGGCATTCACAGTAAGGCATGTTAGTTTAGGCAGCTCTACTTGGTGGTGTATGTTAGCAGCCTGCAATATTAACCGCCACGGGGCTAAAGCAGATTTACTTCACTCCTACAAGGACGATAGCCTCCAGCAAAGGGTGAGATTTACAGCTGGTGGCAGGAATGTCCAGAATCACCCCAGCAAACTTTGCTGCATGTCTAATTCAGAGCTGTTTATGTGCATCCAGCCCTAAACCTGCAAGTCCTCTCTCCCCCCTGTGTAGATACAGTGCCATCCGAAAGAAGCTGGATGAGCTGGACCAAATCACCCATCAGACACTGCTAGACCTTTATGACTACAACATGTCTCTGCCACGAAGTGACTGGTCCACCCTGTCTACACAAAAGCGTAGCTCAAGGAGCCTGCTCCATCATGTCCAGCGCCACCCTTTGCGGAGGCAGAAGAGGGATAACTTAGTCAACTTGCCAGAAAACAGTCCCTCAGTGGATAAGAATGACTGGAAAATTGGCTTTGTTCTGGTGAGATCCCTAGGTATCCTGTGCCCTACCCACTCCAGTCTCTGCCTAGCTACTTCTATCTTGTTAGACCCTTTTCCACCCTATGTAGAAGTCTGATTAATCTGCACTGACTTTTGTTAATGACAGATAGAAGTAGAGCTGAATCCTTCACCCAATGCAATCCTGCTCCACAAGAGCTGTCCCTGTCCACGCAGGCCCCAAGGAGACTTGTCCATGTTACTGTCCATCTTTTCCTAGGTACAGCAGGGAAACTTTGTCCTTCCTGAAGGCTACACCAGCCTTGCAGTTGCCTTTGGAGAGCAGTTTATCAGCAGCAGCTGCTGCATTGCCCAGTAATTCAAAGTAGTAAAGTATTTGATGGTCCTGGGTCACTTGAAATGCGGTCATGGTCGCATTTGCTCCTGGGTAGCAGCTTCCTCGCCCTAGGGTATCTGTGTTTGCATTTAAAAAGACACTGAAGGACTGAAGCTAATCACTTGCCAGTTAACTGGAGTTCCCACAGGATCACAAAAGTTTTTCTGGACACACCCTGAGGGAAGGGCTCCCCACTCAAGAATTTAAAGCTCCTGGTTTTATACCAGGCAGAATTTATGGGCAGATCATCTTGCACACCTCACTGCAACTTTCTGCTTCCTGGGTTTTACTCAGCCTTGCTTATTCATCCAGTGTTTCTCTTCCACCAGTGAACTGCCCTGGGTTTGCTCTTTCACATCCTGCTGATGACCTTTTGGTCAAGTGCAGGAGTCCTGTGGAGCTGTTTCACTCCCTCAGTCATCTCTTGCCTGTGCTGAGGGAGAACAGCTCTTCCACAGGCACAGCCTCGCCTCCTGGACAAGACTTCTCTGACATGGCTGGTTTCTTCCTTCTCAACAGTGCAGTGAAAACAACAAGGACTGTTTCCATCAGGCATACTCCTCAGGAGTGGATGCCGTGCGGGAATGGTACAGCTTTCACTATATCAATATCCTGGCACAGGTGCCTGATGCAAAAGCCCTGGATGAGTCTGACTTCGAAAATTTCATCTATGCTTGCCGCTTCAATGAAGCAACATGTGACAAGGCGTAAGTAGTGGAAACATCCCACCGAGTCTTCCTGAAAACACTCGTTTTGTGCCTGGGTTTGAGGGGAATCAAGGAACCCACATTAAAAAAACTCTTTTCCAAGGTGGGTTCATTCCTTGTTCACTTCCCATTGTCTCAAATGATCTTTCTTGAATCTTTTCTGTGGGTTCTGTGTATCAGGGCCACAGTTTCTGTGATCTGAAACTATGAACCTCAAAGGACGGTTTTGCCTTTTCCTGGGTTTCACACAAATGAACCAGTTACCCACTGGTACAAACGCCAAAGTGGGTGCCAATGTACAGTATAAAAGTATTTTTATTTTACTCTCTACAGTAGTAAAGTGGTACATATCAGCCCACATACAGGAAGAGGAGAGGAGAGAGCTGATACAAAAAGACAGTAAAAAAATATTCTACTTTTGTCCTGCTATTATTGGTCAAAAAAGATGTAGTAGAGGTAGTGGAATGACACCCATCAGCAAGGGAGAAAAAGGGGTTGAAAGAGCTATCTTCAGTATTAGGAAGATAATACAATCTTTGCTAGTACAGCTAAAACCAATTTGGGCCCTCAAGAGCAGTATGAAAAATGTGGTGTAAAAACCTGTCCAGCTCCAGGACATTTTTTACGGTACATTTTAATTGCTTTTCCCTGTTCAGGTGAGTTTACACAACAAATACTGCCCATCTGCTGTAAGCCCCTCTCCCTGCTGATAGAAAACAGAGCTGTTTCTTTTATGAAGCCCTTCCTCTTGGTCTTGCAGTCCTTCTCACACCGTGTGAATGTTTCTGTTCCCCTCTCAGGAATTATACCCACTTCCACCATCCCTTGTATGGGAACTGCTATACCTTTAATGACAACAGCAGCAGCCTATGGACATCCTCGATGCCTGGGATCAATAATGGTGGGTGAGAGGCACTCTTTGGTGAGTAAGGAGTATCACTTATCTCTGCTTTCCTTAGGAGTTATGGGCATCCTGCTGTGCTTAATACTGGTACTGGCAGATTACAGCCCTGCTGTCTCGCTCAAGCTGTTTTTGCCCATGTGGGGACAGCTGTCTTGAGGACATGGCTGTCCCTCACTGCTGCCCACTGAACTCTCTCTCCCCCATCAGTGCCTGATCCTTATATTGCTCTCTCTGGATTTGTGCTGGCCCTTCCTGAAATGTTGAGCCATAGTGCTGCACTGCTGAGAGCCTGGTCTTCACCTCCTCCTTCTCTGTTTCCCTCTTTCCAGCAGCTGACCTGCTTGTGTTCCTAAACTCCATGAAACTTCTTGAGGCCAAATCTTCAGGCTTTTCTTCCATCCAACTCCAAGTCTCTCCATGAAATCTCTCTCAATTCCCAGTTCTGCTTTTCCTAAGCTACAGTGATGAAATTCAACTTTCTCTGGCCTCTTCTGGAGGCTCCAGCTTTGCCCCTGGCTTCCCTCCAGCCACCCTCTATTGCTGCCAAGCTTCGGTGCCGCCCTGTTTGATGTCTATCTCTTCCTTTATCTCTTACAGATTCACTTCTAACCACCGTGCTCTCCCTACTCTCCCACACCACAGCCAGCCATGACCTCCCTTGCTCTCTGACATTTCCTCAGGTCTCTCTCTGGTGGTGCGCACCGAACAGAATGATTTCATCCCTCTGTTGTCCACGGTGACAGGAGCCAGGGTCATGGTCCATGATCAGAATGAGCCAGCCTTCATGGATGATGGGGGCTTCAATGTGCGTCCTGGTATCGAGACCTCCATCAGCATGAGAAAGGTAAGGAAGCAGCAGGGGTAAGAGCTGTGGATGTGAGGTTATGGGGAGGTTTAACTTGGTGAATAGATACAGATGGGTTGTCATAGACCCAATGTGTGTTTAAGGGAGGGGATTAATCACATGGAGTGGAGGGAGAGGAAGAGCAGCTTAATGGACAAGAAGCATTTGGCTGTGCTTTATCAGTGAACAAAGAAATGGAGGCATCCTGAGAAAAGCATAAAGAGTAGATACTGATAGCTGAGCAGTGTGTGGCATGGAAGCTTAGGAAGAGGACAGCAAAGTGCCAGTTGTTCTACGCAATGACAGTTTGCTATTCCAGGAGATGACTGTGCGTCTTGGGGGCAGTTACAGTGACTGCACAGAGGATGGCAGTGACGTGCCAGTGCAAAATCTGTACTCATCCCGCTACACTGAACAGGTAACTGTCACCAGTCCTGTGCTGGCTTGTTTCCCTACTTTCCCGAAATATTTTAGTTCCCTAAGGGCCATGCTTGTCCATGGGCTCTGTTAATAGTATGATGTGATACAGGTTGCAGTGGGTTTGGTTTCCTTGCTGAGCCTTTTCCACCTCATGTGCCTCCCAGGTCTGCATTCGCTCCTGCTTTCAGCTGAACATGGTTGAGCGCTGTGGCTGTGCCTATTACTTCTACCCCTTACCTGAAGGAGCAGAGTACTGTGACTACACAAAGCACGTATCTTGGGGTAAGTGGACAGGAGGAACAGTAAAGCTCGTGCCCATCTGAACCTGTTAGGTGCACCCCATGTCCCAGTACATCTTACTGTCTTCATTGAGCTTCCTGGGGGGAGCACCCAAAAGACACTCTTGTCTTAGATTGTCGGTCCGTTGGAGCTTGTGGAAGGAAACCTTCTCTGGATTCCCCTTACTGTCACATATCACCTTTTATATAAAGATACTGTGAGCTTACCTGGATTTACTTTCTCTGCTGTTCAGGCTACTGCTATTACAAACTCCTGGCTGAATTCAAAGCTGATGTGCTGGGCTGTTTCCACAAATGTCGGAAACCTTGCAAGTAAGTTTGATCATCAGTCAGGAAGACTGAAAACTTTTTATTTCTAGAAGTGTTGGAAAGCATTCACTGGCCAGGGCAAAAGCTTGAGTCAATAACTAAGCTGCCACCCAAAATGGTATATCTCCCATCACGATGCCAAAATGACCAAGGAACGTCAGGGTCAGCTTAGGGGTGAGCTCCCAAGGATTGTGCATTCTGCACAGTGGGAAGTGAGCAGAACTTCAGCATGGGAGGGAATCTCCAGGTGTGCCTGGAAATGGCAAGACCTGGCCTTGTGGCTCCTACAGCTTCAACAGCTAACACAATCTCTTGTCTTCCAGAATGACAGAATACCAGCTGTCAGCTGGATACTCCCGCTGGCCTTCTGCTGTCTCAGAGGTAAGGAGATGGTGTCCTGGCTCCTCAGCACTGCTTCTGCCTCCTGTTTAGTCCTTCCTCAACGGGTACTAAACCTACAGGATGTGACTGCGATCATGTAACACAATTTATTGCACTTTCATTTCAGGACTGGGTTTTTTACGTGCTTTCACAACAGAACAAATACAACATCACATCCAAGAGGTGAGAGCCCTTAAACAGAGATTGTGTCCACACCAGAAACCATCCCAGTGGAGTGTGTGTGTTAGGAATGTCAGAGTTAAGAATAAATCAATGATGGGAAGAGATCAGGCATGGAACCTGTGGACAAGGCCAGTGGATTTGAGTCCAAGTAGATATATTCTGAGACTTCAACAAGGATTGGGGATCCAAGTGAAAAATTTGAAAGGGGTCAGATGCTGGTATGAAAACAGTAAGCCCCAGGCACCTGCCATGTAGCCTGGAATCACAGAACGTGCTCATGGTACAGTGGGAAGGAGAGCTGGGCAGAAGCTTTTGCCACCAACATTGGGTTTCACAGTGCAGTCTCAGAAGTGTGCTGCAAGTACCAAAGATTACATTCAGTGCAGAATGAGGGAACTGCAGAGATGGGAAAAGGCCTCTGGGTGGTATGTGTGTTAGAAGGATGGGGGCAAAAGGAGACAGAGAAGAAAATTACACTTGGTGAATGAGGTGAAGAAATGCAGGGATTGAGGAGTTGGGGTTACTGAGCCTCATCTTTCATTTACAGGAACGGAGTTGCCAAAGTGAATATCTTTTTTAAGGAGTGGAACTACAAGACCAATGGGGAGTCTCCAGCCTTCACGGTACATACTTTATTACCATGTCTTCTCTAGCCACCCATTCCCCCACGATGCCACGTGTTTGTTCCAGCAGCATTGCTGACTAATCAGTCTCTTTTCCTGTGGCAGGGTGAGAGGAACCTCCCAGCACCACAGGGGCACTGCTAGTGGGAAAAGGCAGGGAGGCAAAAGTCTTGAATGAGGGCTGTCCTCACTGCTCTTTCTCCATCTCTTGCAGGTAGTGACTCTTCTGTCCCAGCTTGGGAACCAGTGGAGTCTCTGGTTCGGATCCTCTGTCCTTTCTGTGATGGAGCTTGCAGAGCTGATTCTGGATTTCCTTGCCATCACCTTTATCTTGGCCTTCCGCTGGTTCCGTTCCCGGCAGAAGCTCTCTCCACCGGGACCCCCTCCAAACAGTCATGATAACACTGCTTTCCAGGATGAGACACCAGGTCTCAGTGCTCCACATCGCTTCACTGTTGAGGCTGTAGTGACCACTCTGCCATCCTATAACAGCCTGGAACCACGTGGGCCAAGCAGGGATGGTGAGGTGGGACACAACTGAGGCAGCAGCTTATTCCACCGTTCAGATGGGTGGCAATTGGAGCAAAGGCTGCACACTTTGCTGTGGGACCTGTGTTTCCTTCCTTCTTGGGTGCTGCACCTGAATCATAGCAGAAGACTGCTCTGTGGTTGGCCTGGGTTCATTGCTTTCACTACAGTAGGTGAATTACTCAGTCTCGTAAAATACTATTGCTCTGGGGATCACCAGGGATGAGAGTTGATCTAGTCTATGTATGGGGGAGATGTCCTCTTGATTTCCTTACACTCTGTGCATGTGCACACCTACACATGCGTGCATGCTTGCTTTTCCCCGCAACAAGGATGCTGCCACCGTTCTGGTCTGTCATTAATTAAAGAGGTTTGGCAGGTGTGACTGGCCTCCTCTGTGGTATGACAAGGGACAGGAATAGAGCCTCAGATGGGGTACTAATCTCTCAACATGCTGAGCTTTGTTAAGGTCTCCCTGAGGTTGGAAACTGGTTGCTCTTTCCTTGTTGCTAATATCTGACTGTGATCCCGAGACTGTGCCACTCACCCCCTTCTCCCTCAGAGAAGAGGCTACTTGAGACAACAGCCACTGGCATAATCTCAACCATTACTATGCACAATTCTCTGGAGAGGTGGTTGATGCTTGCTGCCACTCCCAGGTCTGGGACAAAACACCTCTGGCAGTGCCAGGTTTTCCTTTTCAAGCTGCCTGTGTTGCACTTGTAGATTTTGGGTGTATAGCCTCCCTTCCTTGTGATGCACTATAAATGTGTACATCCAGCGATTTAAATGTTTGCCAACAGGTCTAGGACAAATTGATCTCTACACCTGCTTGGCTCTCTCTGCTTTCATGAGGGAAACAAAGAGAGTTTGGCAGGATTACGCACGTCCTCAAAAAATCCCAAACAGTACCTCTGCTACCATGGGATCCCACAAAAATTAGAAGAGCACAGGTCCTGCAGTGCCTGTTCCGACCCTTATCTGACCCGACCCTTATCTGGTCCACCCACAGAGACTCTGCTGAGGCTCTTCTTCCTAAGTGAAGCACAGGAGAAGTATTGCAGGCTTTAGTCAAAAATCCGTCCAGTTAAAGCCTTATCCTATTCGATCGGACCACATAGGCAAAGATGGTCCTCCTTTCGGAAACTAATTTGAGGACCTTTGCATAAGAGAACACATCTTATTTCTTGCAGTAAGCTTGCCATACTCTTTTCTTACAAATATTCAGACTTCTGATGCAATGGTGTTTACACAGCACTTTATGGGGTATCAAGAGAGCAAGGGTGATGTCCTTAACAAACAGGATTATCCACTTCACAAGACACAAACACAGATACCAGAATTTAAGCATATAGTTTAGGGCAAAGACCTGTGGTACCATGTACCCACTCACATTGCAAAGAGCAGCTTTTGAATTTAAAAACTAGTTAATCATAACAAAAGAAAAACTTAAGTTATTTTAAAAATTAAGGTAAATACACTGCCCTTGGGAAGTTGGAGGGGTTTACTGCAGTCTATAAACTGTTGCCTAATTTTTCCCTTTGAGATGCTAAACACATGCTGATTGTATTGCTCTTGCCTCAATTACATAAACACACTTTTCAGTTCCCAGCAGAGAGTGATTTTATTCTTCTTCACATACACAAACTCTATATTCTTTATTGCACAGATACTCATGGTTTTTCAAATTTTATCCCAGTGCTCAGCTGATGACCCTGGTTTGAAAATGAAGATGATGTCTTTCTGCTGGGAATAGAAGCAAACAATTCAGGGGGTGTCCTTCAGCAAGGGTGGCAGCCCAGCAGGAGGGAGAGTCCTGCAATAGGCACTTAGAGGTATGGGAACATGTATTCCTCTTTGGAGGCTGCCACTGGAAAAAAATCAGGGCATCTGCAAACATGAAAAAAGTCCATTTTCTGTGTTTGTGGGTAATTTTAAATGAAGAAAAGGGGGTAATTAAAGAATGAAATCTCCAAGTTGCCTTGATGAAGGGACTCTCATATTCTGTAAAAACACTGCCCAAGAAGCAGAGCTAAAAGCTAGGTTTAGTTTCTAAAAGTAACTTTGGTCACAATTAAAACAAGAACAGCAGATAGAGAAGTAAAGGAGAAAGAGCAGGTGCAACACCTAAAACAGTCTCTGTATATCATAAATGTATGATGATTCATATGGTGAGCATGATCTTTCCTGAATATCCAAAGAGTAAGACACGATTCTTCACATCACATGGTACCTTCTAATAACCATAAAATTGATAAGACCCGCTACATCACACACAGTGATCACAGTGGGTGATTAAAAAAGATTAATCAGAGGCATAAACTAAGTTCTCTTCATCATAAAGAAATATAGCTGTAGAAGGTGGTGAAGTATTCTGTGGGAGAAGCTTGCATCATATTCACTCTGTAGAAGTGTTAAAATAAGGAGGAAAAAAAAAAGAAAACAAGAGCTTTGACTGATGAACTCAAAGTAATGGCAGCATTCTGGATAGCTGTAAATTCAGATTTAAAAGCCTATACAAACATGAAGAAGATGTTATACAGGTTGGTAAGTAGATTAGCCCTCCCTTTCCTGAGAATCAGTGCAAAAATTGCCATCTTGAGAGAAATCAGGTGATCCTCCCAGGAATATCCCTACACTTTTTGTAGGCTGACAAGACCACAAATTATCAGCTCAACAGACGTATAGCGAGCTTGGTCTGGCTGAAAACAAGAGGCGAGTCCAGCAGTGCTGGAGTGAGAGTGCAGAAAATGGGAGTGTTTCACCAAGAATGTGAAAAAGCAGAGAAAAGGGAAGAAAGTGCGCATTTAGAGGGACCTGCAGGTCAGCAAAAGACAAATTAAAGGTTTGAGCTGGGGTGGATTTGTACCAGAGGAGAAAGCTGAGGAGATGTAAATGCGCAGTAGTCTTAGATATGCTAGAGGCATAGCACAGTTATTTGGAGCACATGGAAAACACACAAAGAGCACCTGAAGGTCACAGGACACTGAAGAAGAGCGAGTTGTGTCTTTTTGGACTGGGAGCACCTGGAAGAAGGCAGAGAAGTAGAAATACAAGTGCCTGAAGGGGAAAGGAAAGTGCAGAAGAAAACATTTTGTGGATAAGTTGGAGTATTAGAGTGGTTTGTTTTGCAGGAGTAAGCAGCACAGAAGCCGGTAGTTCTATGTATTTAAGAGCGAGAAAGAGGAATGTTTATATGGTGGAGAAATTACAGAGGAAGAAGAGGGATGAGAGTTTACAGCTTAAAAAACAATAGAATATTTGTTTAAGTGTTTGATACAGCTGAAATACAAGGAAAGAGAGGTGGGCTCTTTTGGATATGAAACAACCTGCAGAGATGGGGTATAAAGGGCCCCAGCACCTGTGGGACTGTGGAGTTGACAGACATTTGCAAGCTGATTGAGTGTTAAGAGCATTTGGAAATCATGTGCTAGCAGAGAAAAGGGATACAGTGTCTGGGAAATGTAGGGATACTGAAGTTTCTGAGGACTCCAACTGTGAGATCAGATGACTTCAGAGGATCTGAGAACCTCTAAGGAAATTTGGAGTGCAGTGAGATTGGGGGAATGGAAAGAAGTACTGGGAGAAAGGAAAGAATGGGTCAGACCCTCCATGAAGGAGGAAAACTAAGCACAGGATGGTTGAGAAGGCAGGAAACACAGAGACAGAGGCATAGCCAGGCATACCCAGCTATCTGCTGAAAACTTGTCCCTCCAGAATGAGACAGTCACAATTTGACAGATATCAAAACTACTGTTTTTCCATAAAAATTAAGGTAATAGAGGAAATGCATGGAAGTACAACATAAGTGTCTAAGAAAGCTAGGGAAAAAAAAATGAAAAAATGATCACTTGGAAAAATAACCAGTACATTTAGAAGAACTAAACTCTGCTTGCTGGAGGGTTTAGGGAAGCTGGACAGATGGGTGCAAGGTTCATCTTCATAGAATGAGGTCAAAACAAGAATGAATTTGAGGAAAGGGTTACCAGGCTCTTTGGACAGGTTCATTAAAAGCTAAGGGGTGGAGATGGAGTACATCAAGGAATGAAAAGGCTAGCAGTGCTGTTGGTGAAAGGACAGAGGGGAACCACAGAGATCAGAAAACATACCAGAGAGATGTCTGTGTTCAGTCTTGCAGTTCTTTGTACTTACCAATGTGCAATATTTAAAAGAGGCTTTTGAGCACAAGAGAGGAAAGTGCCTTCAGCTTTCAAGTACATGCTTAGAAGGGGCCTCTGGTGGTCTAGTGGTTAGGGTGCAGGACTCTCACCGCTGCGACCCGGGTTCGATTCCGGCCCCCTGGGCAGATGGAGCTCGTTAGCCCTGTGTGGCAATCCATCTAAGAGAAGGTCACTCTAAACAAACCTACGTTCTGAGACCCTCACTGCCACTGTCTGAGTTTCACTCGGCCCTGGCAGATGAACCTCAGGATTAAAGGGTGGGCTCAGTTCAGCGCACGCTGTGTCTCACCTAAAAAATCCACTGCACAGGCTCGAAGGGTCAATGACCTTTCCCAAATCTTCGCTCGTGAAGACTGACCATTATTATTAACATGCTTAGAAGCAATGAACTAAAAAAAGCTTTTTTTGAGATTACAACAAATTTATTTAAAAAAATAGTACAAAGTCTTTTGGAAAAGAAGCCTGGCAGGAAAGAACATGAAAGGAAAGTGTCACTTTGGCCTCTGAAGAAATCATTTAGTGGGTCTGTGCACTGAAGGAAAGGATGTTTTGGGCCTGGTCATATTTGAGCAAGTAAGGGTGTTCTCAATAGCTGCTACACTCTATCTCTGGCAAAAAAATAGGTCAAAGATTATCAGAAGTATGGAGGCTGAAGTATCCAACAGTCACAGCTGAGTTGCCTATTTGTAAAACCTATATCTTTATCTATTACATCTCAGAGAGTAATTATTTGCTAAGAGGTCAGAACAAAGATAAAACCTCTATACCTCCCCATTATTGCTTCTCTTCACCAAGTTAAGGCTTCCAACCCCAGTGGATACATCAGAGCAGGGACCTCTGTCCCTTCACAGGAAAGCTAGGTCCATTAAACAAATGTTGACTCTACATTTCTACTCTGAAGAAAAATCTGTCTTCCCCACTATCATTTGGTTACGCTCCAGCTGAGACCACAAACCCCACCACTGATGAGAACTTGCAGCCTGCTTTGATCAGTGCCCAGAGACCTCAGGAGAGGTCAGAGCAATGCTTTAGGCATCTAGAAATATGAAGGTTTAAGGCATATCCATTTAAGAGCAGTATAGTTGAGGCTTTTCTTCCACCAAATCTAAAGACATCAGGATGAAAGAGTTGATATGGGAGCTGCATGTTGCAGAGAACAGTTTGAGTTGGAAGGGACCTTAGAGATCATCTTAGTTTCAACCCTGTGCCATGGGCAGGGACACCTTTCACTAGACCAGGTTGCTCAAAGCTCCAGCCAACCTGGCTTGAACACTGCCAGGGATGGGGCATCCACAACTTCTCTGGGCAATCTGTTCCAGTTCAAAGGCATGTTAAACATGTTTCATGTTTAAAGGTAGAGCTTGAATTTTTAATTAGACCTATGAAGAACCATTCTCCCAAAGCCTTGGCCTTGCTTTTAAAGCACATTTAAAACCATGTTTTGTCCAGGTTAACAGACTCTGCAGGAGCAGCAGAAATGCTGATATGTTAAAGGATGGCACCTCAGAAGATGAGCTCCCAGCAGAGCTTGGCATTTCCAACACCTACTATAGGATTTACGGTTAAACACGCAACTCTTTGCAAGCATCCACAACATGACTCATGAACTGGGCTCAACCCTGGGGCAGCTTTCAGCAGTACGTTCAGCTCCAGCTCTGTGTTCCAGCTGGCCAGCTTTGGAAAATGAGCATTCAAGTCCCCAGGTTTGGCTAGAGACTTTGAGACTGCACAGTGAACAGTCTAAAAATGCACCTGTCCTAAGAAACATTTTCCCTATCCCCCTATATGAATGAGGCTGTGAACTGACAGGAAGACAACACACAAATTGGCAGGAATTGTAGCATGACTAGTTTGTTCAGGTTGTGCAGGCCTGAACTGTGTGAAATTTTAGACTCTACATGCTGCTTTAATCCACCAGCCAGTCCAGACACCCTCCTTTCACAGGAAAGCTTTCATCTTTGAGGAATTAGTCTAGCTGCCTTGCTCCAAATTCACCATTTTGAATTGTTCTGGTGTGTTCATTGTTCTGGTACAATTTTGGTGATGTTTAAGACTGGACAAAGATTGATCATAAGGGAACTCCAGGCTACAGGGAATACTGTTTTACAGCCTAACCTTTGTAGCAGTAGAGGCCGATAAGGGCACAAATACCTCATTTTAAAATAAGTCCGCATGGGACAAAGATCTGTCATTTCTTTTTAATGAGTTTCAAGTGTTTCAATGAGTTTTATTGTTTCAATTGAAGCAAAACAATGGGGCACTTACCTTTATTCCAGTCATGCTCTAAGACATGCTATGAACAGGATCCTATTCTTGGAGTTCATTTGGATCTTGAACTTATATTCCAACACCAATGGAGAATTGTTTTCTGGGCTTAAGGATCTGAGGTTATTGAAACCCAAAGACAACACAGCCTGAGAGCTAGAGCTGTCACTAACACACTCAAATGCATAGGAAGGTAGTCCCCTGAATAGGACACAGCAGCTGGATGTTTGGTAGCTGGAAGTAGAGTTAGCTTGGGCAGACTCCAGAGCTGCTGGTTCGTACATTTTGTTACAGACTTACCAGAGTCAGTCCAGCACAACTGGAACTACCATCATTTTTTCAATGGAAAACCAGCCACTGCTTTGAGGGCCAGAACTTCAGGTATGTGTATGCTATGGAAGTGACAAAAAAAAAAAAAAAAAAAAAAAGACATTCCAAAACCAGTTTGGCATCCCAACCCCTCCCCACTCACTGACAGACCAGACAGACTCAGTAAGGTGGTGAATTGTGTTTCTTAGAGACCATTAAAAGTACATGAGCTGATTTCTAGAACATGCCAGAGGAGATTACAGTTGTGTTTATAAATTAAATAAATAAACTGCACGTGCATAAGTGGCTGTAATGCAGCGGGCAGCAGAGTCCCTTGCTTTTACTCAGAGGGCCTTGGTGATTTGTTTTGCCCATGCACAGAGACAAAGGAGGGGAAAGGGAGCACAGGAGGAGGCAACATACAACATCTAAGAGAAAGAAATGAAAGAGACAGCCTAGGGGGAACCTCAGCCCCCAGACAGACAGGAGGAATGGGGCACCAAAGGCTTGTTTAGAAGAGTTCGAGAGAATTGCTGGTCTGGGGGCCCCAAGCTTGTATGCCTACCCCCTAAAATGACAGCAGTAAGTAGCACAAGCAGGCCCTGGCTCCTCTTCAGTAGATGCACTTCCGACCATCCATCACATCTCAGTTCCACAGGGAATTAGGGAAGTGCTCAGGGGACGTGGGCTGCTTCACTCCAGATCTTCATCTCTGCCCTCCCCCAAGGTGGATAGGAATGGAATTGCAGGGAGATGAACTTGAGCAAATGAAATGCTGGGGCATGGAAGTGAGCATGCAAAACCTAACCCCTTGCCAGATGCCCTGTGAGGAAGAAAGGGGCTTCCCCAGCACACCGAATGAAACAAAAAACATCTGCTCCTCCCATCTTTTGTACTTTGCTTCCATCTAGGAACTCTGGTGATGTTCTCCCCATCTCCTCTCATGTCTAAACAGATTCCAGTGTATTCTAGAACAGAAGTAGAGCTCTCTAAATTAAAGGAGCACCCTCTTTCCAGTCTAGATTACAGGCTACAGCTCAGATTTAAAAAAAAAAAAAAAAAAGACAAGATACACATTCCTTGGAAGACTCTATAGAAACAGGGCAGCTCATTTAATGCCATGTCTGACAACACATTGAAGCAATTCACAGCTCTTGTTACTTTTGATGGAGAAGAACAAGGGGATTCCTTACAGAATGACAGAGCATTCCACACTGCAAGTTCACTTACAGCAGAGACCACCCTGGATCTAAATTCAGGAGAATCCATAGCAAGTAGGAGGATTTCGGCCTGATAGATCTCTAGAGACCTAAGTTGCCAAACATCTGCTGTCACTTTGCAATATCCACGCCTAAAGCAGCATTTCCCTTTGAATCCCTAGGTAACCATTTCAAGTATTTTCCTACTGCTGCTGAAAGTTAGTGTTTCGTGGCAGCAGAAATGGAACAGATACTCTTAATCAGAAAGCTGCGCAGCCCATTCAGTTTCATCTGGAATATCACCAGTCCCCTTCACCTCCATTTGCTACAGCAGTGAGCTTCCTTTGACATCCAACCCAGTAACACAAAAGCAAACACCCGTTCCCATTCTGCCCCAAAGTCTTCCTTCAAGAAAGCTACAAGATAGTAGAAAGCTACAGGGTCCTGGCTTGTGTGTGCATAGATGAAAGGAGTATTTGACAACTCCCACCAGACTAATTATTGTTCTTTTGTTCTTTCTGGAGAGAGACTTTACTCTTACACATGCCTTTTAGATAATAACAATGCTCCTTTCACTTAACTGTGTTTAGCCTGTTGCACTTGACTGAGGTAATCATGTAGGCTCGCCTTTATAAAACTTGAAATGGCCATGTTCAGACATCAAGTCATCTGAAAATAAGGACAGGCAGAATAAATCATTTAAGTGCTCATCTCTCCATGGCTAGAGAAATCTACATCACTATGTCTAGCTTAGTCAGACGGCTCACAGTCACTGGCTATCACTAACTAGCCTCTATCTCAGAAACTCAGTGAAAAGCTCAAGTCATGCTGCCACTCTTTTTAGGCAGAATACTAAAGAATCTCACATGCTGAAGTCCTTCATCCCCAAAGGCACTGCGTTAAGGCATTCTTATTTTGCAAGAGTTCACACAGGCACTATTTGACAAGCTCACAGCTGAAAATAAACCCCCAAAATTCCCTGCAGAAGAGCAGAAGCAAATAGCTACCCACTCCTCCTTATTTCCCTTTCCTCTAAACATAGAGGACCCTCCCTAAAGCTGCAGCAACTGTTGAAAAGTCTAGCAATGTTTGGTAAGCAGCTCAGAGTCCTATACGGAAGACAGATTAAAACCAATAAAGAAATCAATGAAGAAGCTAGGTGAAAGGGAAGGAAAGGGAAGAAAAGGGAAGGAAATTAAAGATTTGGAGGCAAGAATAGACAGGCAAGGTGATAGGGGACAGTAGGTTGCAGACTGAAGGAGCTACATTTAAGTAAAAAAGTAGACTGGAGACAAAGCAATAGGGAAAAAAAAGGAAAGAACAAAAGGGCAAGTTATACCAAAGGTCCCTCAGAGACCTCCAAACTACCCACCAGGGAAGGGACTTGCCAACCCACCCACTCCAGGGAAAAGGCCCCTCATACTTACAAGTTTACCTGACCTTGCAGGCAGAATTTCCCATTTCTACAACGATGGCATCCCCAATTCTTTCTATTACTATGTAAAGTATGCTATTTTTGCAACAAGTGAGGGAATTCCAGCACTTCCACCTCCCTTCCCCAAGGACTGAAGTTAACACTTATGCAACTAAGACCCTTGAGATCTCAGACCAAAAAGGAAAAATTAAAGTAGTCTAGAGTTGGTGTTTCTTCACCCTTGAGCCTGAGCTTTTTGGTACTTACTTCCAATCACCACCACAATAATGGCACCAATCACTCCCATCATGATCATCATCTAGAGAAAAAGATTGTCAAAGAGTAATACTCAGAACACATGGACAAGTTCACATCCTCTCTGATGGCCAGGGAAAGCAAGCCAGACCCTGAAGGCATGGCAGCCAAGGCCTCAAAGTCTTTCCACAGTGAAAGAATCTTAAGCATTTGAAATGGTCATTAAGCCCCAAGTATACTTGCAAAGTCCTGTAGGAGAGGAATAACCCAGTTTCCCCTCTGCTGAAGGAGATCATGGCACTAGGAAACTCACCTTACAGTTCTTCCACCAGTACTTCCTTTTGAGTTTTGCTGCGCTACTTTCAAATATTGAGGCACCGGCCTGAAGTGCATCTGCCCGGTCATCTAGCTCTGACAGTTTCTGGTCTCGTTCCAGCACCTTGTCTACATTTACACACATTATATCAACCACCTGCAGAAGGAAGAACAGTAGCAGCAGTTGTATTGGTTAAAAAAATAAGAAGTCGGCCAATAACTAACGTTTAAACCAGGTCTTCAGCCCCCCATTCTCACCTCCTTTTAAAAGCTCTCAAATCCAGCAGCAACCCAAAGCCACCCTCCTCGCGAGAGGAATGATATGCTCACTCCCGGCAACTGCAAAATTAACTTAGGAGCTTCCTGTTGCTGCCCCAGTGAGGCACAAAGGCGCTACTGCACGGCAGCAGCCAAGCTGCAGGCACTGATCCCGGGAAGCCAGGCAAGGATCCCCCCCACATCCCACCGCACACACACTGTTCCCTGGAAGCAGCAGGCAGGGATTAAGAGCTGTCCTGGATGCCGTATAGCTTTATTTCTATAAGAGATGCACGATAAGAAGTACTTAAAAAAAAAAAAATCTAACTGGCCTGCTCTTTGGAAGTCATATCTAGAATTAAGCAGCTTTTAAACAAAAACCAGTCTCTCCTTCAGCCTCTTTATAGGTTTATGTATTAATGCATTTCTGGCATTGGTGTGACACGAAGAGCCACCCCCGCAGCGACAGAAACCTGTCAAGAACATCGCTGCTGCAGAGCAGCGGGAGAAGAGTCCAGGCATCCTATGGGAAGCCAGCAGAGCTGAGCTACTGACCTCCTGCACCTGGGCCTGGGTCTGCTGCAGGCGGCGATTACTGCTCAGATTAGGGGGAGCCCCGGGGGGGCCTGCACCGGGGGCTCCCCCTTCAGGAGCTCCTCCTTCGGGGGCTCCCCCTTCGGGGGCCCCGGGAGCAGGCTGCGGAGCTGGGTCAGACCTAGGGAGAGACACACATGGGCAAAGAGGCTGCTCGAGAGACAGCTCCCCAAATCTACACGAAGCCCCGCGGGCCCGCACCTTCCCTGGATCCCTCGGACCGGGAGCAGGCGGCCTCGTTGGAGAGCCCGGAGCAGCGACAAGCCCAGGAGGGCTGCGGGGATCGGTCGCGGCAGTGCAGGGGGGCCGCACGGAGGTGACCGGGACACGGGGAAGGAAGGGGGAGGAACGGGGAGGGGGAGACAGCGCAGGGGCACCCCATGGGGACGTGGCAGCCCCCGGGCTGGGTGCAGCGGTGGCCGCCGGCCAGGTTGGCACCGGCCGGGAGGGGGACGCGACAGCTCCGCGCATCGCCAGCGGGGCACGGCCCACGCACCCACCCACCCGCAGCCGGCAGGAGCGCAGGACCGCCCGGGGGCGGTGCGGGCAGCCCTGCCTGCGGCTGCTGCAATGCGCCACTCGGCCCCACCGCCGCCGGCCGGGACGCGGGCTCTGCGCTGACCCCGCTCCCTCGCGCTCCAGCCACCGCCCCCGCGCCGCGCCCGCCGCAGCCTGCGGCCAGTCTGTCGGTCGGACACTCACATGGCCGGGCCGGACCGACACCCCGCGGGCAGGACACACAGCTAGAACTCCTCACCGACAGCCAGGGAACCCCACCACTCGCACTTATAGCCGGCCGGGCCCCGCCCACAGAGCCGGCAGCCAACCAAAAGTTGTCCCGCCGGGAGTGGTAGATCGGCCCCGTCCCTGGGCTCCTCCTCAGCCAATCAGCGCTCCGCGATTGCGATTCCACTCGGCTACGCCCCCGGACTGCCGCGGGGACAAGCCCCGCCCCCCAGTGACTCCCCTGAGGGCCGCCCAATGGGAGCGGGGCCAGTGCCCCGCCCCCCGCGCTGGCCCCGCCCCACCCCTGCGGAACCGGGGGTGACTCGGCCCCCATCCTGATCCCCATCCCGATCCAGAGCTCTCCCGTGGCCAGGCGCTGCACTTTCCGGCCCCGCCAGCCCTGAGCGGGTCCGCCGCACTCCGTGTCGGTCACGCAGAGCCTGAGCGTGGCTATCCGCCCCGTCCGGTTTTTCCCTTGGAGTCCATCCCAGTGGGTGCCGTAGCGGTGGGGACTGCGGAGCGCTTCCGTAATCCCACCTCCGCAGTGTGTCTGTTGGCTTTGGGGAAGCCGCTGCCCTTGCAATTAAGAGATGGTGTCGCTGGCCCACTTCCACCATACAACACAGCATGAAAGGGAACCTGAACAAGTCCCGTTTGAGCTTCTGCAGCCTGCTGGGGGAAATGAGGCTCCTGCAGCAGCCCCGCAAACAACAACGTGCTTGCATTTTTTCCCCTCTGCAGATCTGGAGAAGCCTGATGGATCAGACGGGAAGATTCTTCAATTCAGGACACAAAAGGAGGCAGGAGCATATTGGAACAAGAAGTCTCTTCATAGAGCATTTGGTGTGGTGAGTAGGGTGACAAGCGTGGGTTCACACACTGAAATACCTTTTCCTTTCATAAGGTGATACAGGACATTCATAGAAGTTTTTAGTATCAGATCTGATAGATTAGTAGATACACAAGACAGATATGTTACAGATGACAGCATGGGAACCAAAATACCACGGCTACAAGGTGAACACATAATACAGGGTTGTGACTTGAGCCAGGTGATTTGCAGATGGGAGCAGACTAGCACTGAGCTCAGCAGAACTGAAGGTTTTTAAGATGAGCCTTCAGTCAAGCTGCGAAGGGACAAGTTATGGAAGAAGCTTCTGTAGCCTGGCGACCTTCCCACCGCAGTCCAAGACCTGTTCCAATAACCATTGCAAATAACCAAAGACAGAGCTTATGGAAGTAGTGGCCACAGAGCCCTTGCCAGCTTGGTGCTTAGGGATTAAGAGATGACAAAGGGTACAAGGTACTTGCTCTGACACTCTTCCTGTTTCTGACATATTTTCAGCTAAGGATTTCCTACACCTACAGTTTACATATGTAATAACCCCTAGCTGCTCTCTTTCAGGTGTTTACTCAGTCCCCAGTTGAATCTGTGCACGTTTCCTGAATCCACACCACCTTTTGGCAATTCCCACGGGTCTGTCACCCTGCTCCTGAGAATGTGAACTTCAGCTGTTTGTATAGTTTGCCTTCACTTTTCCGAGGCTTAGACATAAAGAAAGTTCTTTCCATTCATTCCCTGCCACTTCCAACCAAGTGCTGTTGGAGACAGAGCAGCGTTGCTCTGTAGCAAGATACATCAAGTCAGCAGATGTAACTCCCCAATTACTTAGCAGCCAAATTAACAGCTAAGGGAGAAGAGGTAGGCAAATGCCTGCTCATCGTACAGTTTTTTCCCAAGTGTACAATGATCTTTGTGATGCCGGACTAGAGGGATGCCAGCTGTGGCTCACTGTAACTTCTCCACTAAAGGAACCAGTAACAGTTATGGAAAACTAGAAGCTAGAGTTTTTAAAAACAGTTAAACACCTGAATTACTTTTTCAAATCCTAACTAAATTATAAACAAAAGGCCATTTGGCCATTAAATGTCATTAGTAGGGGTTTAAGTCATCATAAGTGTGAAACAGGAGACAAATCCCATTCTTAAGACAAGTTTTGATGCATTTCAACTAACATTTGGATCATTCACACTTAATCACAAATAAGCAGAGGGCAAGGTGGAAAGCAGTGAGCAGGAAGACATATTAGCAGGCACTCTTGGCACTAACTTGAAAATTTGGTTATCTAAGCTGGAGCATACTGGAATTGTCAAATAGGATGTGAGAACCTGGGGTTAACAGAGACTAAAAGGATGCTAGAAACCTGACCAAAAAATAGAGACCCAAGGGTTAAGTTCAGAGATGCAGGCTGGAACAGATGTCTGCAAGAAGTATGTCAGAAATGCTTAAGGGGGCATAGAAGAACTTCCATAGAGGAGCTCAGGGCTGGAGCAGCAGCAGGACCTTGGGAGCACCTAGAAATACACAGCAAAGGTTGTAGGAAACACTGGGAACCCAGCTGAATGAAAGCTGTCTTTATTCTGACTGCAATGCCACAAACCCACGTTCCACATGCCGAACCCTAGCGGTGCTTCCCGGTGCGATTGAAGCGCCTGTACAAGTACCGGATCCTCTTGTTCAGTTTGTGAAGGTCCTCTATAAACATCCGATCTCCCACCATCTGCTTCTTGCGGATGCACCTCTGCAGCTCGTTCCCCCGCCAGCCTCGCAGCCACGTGGGCCCCTTGATGAGATTCTTCGGGTGGATCTGGAAGCCGCCTGAGAACAGGAGGGGAGACAGAGGTGAAGCCAGGCTCTGGAGGAGACTGTTCCTAGGGCGGCCGGCCCAAATCCTCCCACCCCCTCTGGCTGCTGGAGGAGGCGCCAGCCCCGCAGGTGGGTCCAACCTCCCTCCCCTCCTGCGGGCGGGCTGTACGTCTTACCCAGGATCCCCACGTAGTCGTAGACCCCGAACAAGGCCCGTTTCTCCGTCCAGCGGTCCACCTGCTTGCGCTTCGGCGGCTCCTTGATGAGGATGGGCCGGGTGAGCCCCGCCAGGGGCGAGGAGAGGGGCACGGGGAGGCCGGGCCGCACGGGCGCCCAGCACGCCCCGCCGCCCTCGCTAATGCCCCGCTCGGCGCATAGCAGCGGCGCGGCACGGCCCAGCATGGCCCGGCCCGCCGGCCGCAGCAGCAGCGCCGCCGCCGCTGCCGCCATCGGGGTGACCCCCGCCGCTCCGGGGGAAGGGACGGGACGGGAGGGAAGGACGGGAAGGGTCAGGAAGGGCCGGGCGGCGGTGCGGCCCCTTCCGCCGGGGAGCGCAGGGACGCGCCGGTGACGTCGGGCCAACGGCCGCGAGCGCAGGGGGGCCGGCGATTGGGCGCGACGCTGGCGCGCGGCGAGGCCGCCGGGCGGTGATAGGCCCGTGGAGGGGGCGGGGCGATCGCGGCCCGCGCGCGCTGTTTTGAGCTGTGGCGGCCATGGCGGACGCGGTGGCGGTTCCGCAGTTCCAGCTGCCCCTCTCTCCCGCCGACCTGCTGCGAGACGATGGCCGCGGGGACTACGTGGTGCAGGAGGTGCTGCCCATCCGCGAACTGCCGCCCGCCCTCGCAGGTAAGTTGTCCCCGCACCCCCCCTCCCGGCCTGGCCCGGTCCTGCCGCGGCTCACGACCGTGTCTCCCCCGCCCTTCCCTGTGTTTTCCCGCAGCCTTCCGGGCCGCCTTCCGTGCGCGGGGCGCGCTGGCCGTGCTGCAGCACTTCGACTCGGTGTACAGCGTGCTCCAGTGAGTACGGGGAGCAGCGGGCGGAGAGGGAGGCGGAGAGGCGGGCGCTCACCCCTTCGCCAGGCGCTGTTTGCCCGCTGCCCTCACGCACTGTGCTTGCCCCACAGCCACTTCCGAACCATGGGCACCGCTGTCAAGGAGGACGCCCTGGAGCTGATGGTGAACGGTGGGTATCCGCTGTTTCTGGCCGAAGGAGGACTAAGGGAGAGGTTGCTCTCCCCTGGCAGCTCAATGATGATATAAAGGCTAATGTGACTCAGCCAGCTGGGCTGCACCCTCAACCCACTCCTATCATACGGGTCTGTAATCTTGGTGGATGATGCTGAGCTGTGCATGTTCGCTGTAAGGGCAGACCAACAGAAAATCCTTCAGCCCACATCCCTGGAAAATACATTTTCAGGATGCATCAGCTCAGAGTGAGTGTTTCTCTGAGCTGAAAAAGGGCTGCGGGGATAGGATAAGACAGCATGTCCGAGGTTTGGGTTGCAAGGGGCAGCCCGTGTTACAGCTGGTGAGATGTGAGCACACATCTTTGGTAATCTGATGACTGCTCTAATCCCCCAAAAGAGAGAATGGCTGAGGGGCCCGGCAAGGAGTGCTCATGACTTTCTGCCTCTCTTCAGTGGTGTCCCATCATTCCAATGAACTTCCTGGCATCCTGAGTGACACTGGGCTGAGCCATGCAGACCGTGCCGCTCACCTCAATGCTCTTAAGATGAACTGCTACTTGCTGACTTCCCTGGCGGATGCCTTTGAAATGGAAACACTCAAGAACAATTTGTCAGAGGCGGATCCTGGTGGGAAGGTAGGTGAGGGGAATGGGAGAAAAACAAGATGATAAAAGTCAGAAAAATTTTTAAGCTTGATGAACATCTATGAGATGTTATAGCTGGGTTTATTTAAGCCTGATGCCAGCAAAAGCAGTGCATAAGGTGGAGGGCTGGTGTTTCTGTGAAACTGCATGTGGAAAACAAATGGACAGTCATGTCTAAACATCAGCAGGGACTCGGATGCTCAGGCCTTTTTGTTTTGCTCTTCATTGTCTGGCTGGTACTTAGTGTGCCAGTATTTTCTCATGAGTTTGTTTCTGTGGGAAGAGAGGAAGGCAGCGGATGCAGGTATGTCGTTAGACCACGGGAGACACCAGTGCTGGCCTCAGTCCGGGTGCCCGTGGGTGCCAGTCGTGAGCTGCGCTGGACAGTGGGGCAGCTTGAGCTGAGAGAGAAGAATTTGGGAAAGTCCAGTGTGATTCTGTGATCTCGTGCATGTCACTGTGCGTCTCTTAATGCTGTAGAATTAACAGACATTTATTTTCGAGGGAAGAAGGTTGGCGATTTATTTTTTTTCTGTTATCAAGCTGCTGGTGTTATCACATTGTCTAATCTCCTTTCTAGAACAAGAAGAACCATGCCAAGACTTCTGGATCCTTCTGGGAAGAGGAGAGGGAGCCAGTCTTACAGCTGCTTACGCAGGTGCTGCAGCTGGATCTCCGTCAGCTTTGGGGTGGTTTATCGGTGGAAGAAGAGTTTGTCAGGTATGGGATGAAGCAGATGTAGAGGGATGACTAACTGGTTCTCTGGAAGGGAGGGTTAAATGTTAAATCGACCAATGAGGTGGCATTACAGTCATCTGGAGGGTGCAGATCATTGGGAAACTAAGGAAACCAGCTTGAGGCAAAATTAATGTGCATAGGAGCCACTTTGTCTTCTCAAAAATTCAGATGTTGCTTGCTAATTTTTAGAGGATATTGGAGAATCTCTTTGGTTTGATAGAAATGTTTGCCTAGTGTGGTATGGTAAAATGATATTGGTTCTAGTTGTGATAGGTTTGCTGTCTGTCTTCTGTGGCTTTAGCTTAATGATGGGAAGCTGCTGCCGTATCCTGGAGAATCCAAGTATCGGTCTTCAGAAGTATCGTGCCACACGGGAGGCTGTGACACATCTGCTTGCTGGAGCTTTGGTTCACTGTGGTCAAATGTTCAGTGAGTTCCTGCTCTTCTGCCTTCTTCCTGAAGCTATTCCCAGTCACTTTCCCTGACCTCTTTCTTCCTTGTCTCATGTGAAAGGTGCCACTCTGAAGATCACGCAGATGCTGCAGCACTTTGAACATGTAGCCCCTGTGTTTGCACAGGCCGTGAGCCTCTGGGCTAAAGAGTATGGTCTGAAAAGCCTGGTGGGTGAATTGCTAAGGTGAGAGAAATACCTTGACACTTGTCCTTCTACCCCTAGCAACTTAAGGCACCCCAATCCTTTTTTCATCTTTCTTTGCAGGGAAATTGGACAGAAATGTCCACAGGATTTGGCTCGTGAGGCTTCTGGAGTCAAGGGTTATTCTACCTTTGTAACTGAACTGGCCAGAGAGATTCCAGCTCTGGTGCTATCCAACATGAGCGTTCTCCTGCACCACTTGGATGGGGAGGTATGTTTCTGCATTGTTACCTGTCCAGAGAAGTCAAGTGGTGGAGGTGCTGCTATCCAGTTTTTCTGTCTGAAAACAGAATCTCTTTCACAGAGATCAAGTAGCCAAAACCTGCCCTTCGTAATAGGTTCTTCCCTTACCTAAATGCTGCAAAGGAAACAGAAACCATGACATCTACTGCCTGGTAGTCACAGTTGGATGTCAGAGAAAGGGAGACTGCTTACTGGTCTGAGCTCCCAGCTGTTGTCTCTTGGTCTTCAGTACTTAACAAGTTTGTCACTGTGTTACCTTCTCTTAAGTGTTTCTTATGTCAGTTCTTCGCCTCTGTGGACCTAGCTGGATGGCAGGGTTGGATTAGAATCATAGATTGGTTTGTGTTGAAAGGGACCGTAAAAGTCATCTAGTTCCAACTCTCCTGCCATGGGCAGGGACATCTTCCACTAGACCAGGTTGCTCAAAGCTCCATCCAACCTGACCTCGAATGCTTCTGGGGACTGGGCATCCACAGCTTCTCCGGGCAACCTGTTCCAGTATTTCACCACCCTCACAGTAAAGAACTGCTTCCCAATATCCAATCTAAACCTACTCTCTTTCAGTTTGGAGCCATTCCCTCTTGTCCTATCACTACTTGCCCTTGCAAAAAGTCCCTCTCCACCTTTCTTGTAATCCCTTTAGGAACCTGAAGGTGCTATAAGGTCTCCCTGGAACCTTCTCTTTTCCAGTCTGAACAACACCAACTCCCTTGGCCTGTCTGCATAGGAGAGGTTACTCTGTCTTGCAGGCACAGCTATGTTCAAGTTTAATATAATGTCCATAATAAAAAAACTCACTTAAGGCTGGAACCTGGGACTTGGAAGACCCAAACTCTGGGCCATCCCTTGCCATATCAAGTCATGTCTTTTGGCTGTTCCTGGTTCAACAGCTCTACTCTTTGCAGAGTTACATGATGCGAAATGCCATTCTGGCAGCTATGGCAGAAGCACTGATGCAGGTGCTGAATGGTGACCAGCTGGAGGAAGCTGCCCGTGGCACTCGGGACAAGTTCCTGAGTATGCTGCAGGCCCACGTGTGTGACATCCATAGCTTCGTGCGCAGCCGCGTGCTGCAGCTTTTCACTCGAATCGTTCAGTGCAAGGTAAGTCTGTGCTGGGGAAAAGGTGTTGCCTCAGTCATCCCTTCCCCTGTCGTGTTTTCTGAAGGAATTTCTGCCACCCTGCCTTTTGTTTGCAGAGACTAAAGTTTTAACAGAGAAAGGTATTGTCCCCGTGTACTCTGGTGTTTGCAGTTCCTTTTTGACACGAGACCAAACATCTAGGGGTGAGGGAACTGGGGGCAGAAATTAAATGGTGCTCTTCATTACTGGGACAAACTAGAAGAAAGAGCACAGCATGCAGCCTCTTTTTGGACACTAGTATGGTAGAACATCACCCTTGCTAGATATGCTAAGACTAGACTCAACAGGACCCTGTATAACCTAAGTCCTTGCTTTCAGTGGAAGCTGGATCAGAAGATACCAGAGATCCTTTCAGACCTAGACTTTTCTGTAAATCTATAATCTGTGCCATTTAATACATGAATACATCTTCAGTAAAATAACTTTTCCCAAGTCTCTAAGCCTCTGATAACTTTGTGCTCTCATTGTGTGCTAGGCCCTGCCTTTGACTCATTTCCAGTCTGTGGTATCACTGGCTGTTGGACGTCTCAATGACAAATCTGTCATAGTAGTTAAAAATGCAATCCAGCTCCTGGCCGCGTTTTTGTCCAACAACCCCTTCTCCTGCAAGGTAATTCTGATTAGTGTGATGGATATGCTGTATGTCTGTTTGCAGGCCAAATATCTGCAGTGTGCTATAGCCTGGGGAGCAGCCTTTCTGTGTCTTGCGGGAGGGACAGCGTAGCTTTTTGACTATGCAGATGGGAGCTGTCTTGTTTTCCCAGGTTCAGATCTTGTAGTCTCAGGCTCTGCTCTCTCTTGGTGTAACTGGTAGCTTTACTGAAGGCCAGGAGGGATGTATTTGATCGAGGTGAAAACCTGCAGCAGTTTTATTTGAATCCACTGTGGGGTTTTTTTCCTTAGGATCAGAATTATTTTTTAGAATAGTCTGCATGGAGCTGCAGCTCTCTGTTTAGCCACA